CCAACCCAAAACATCAACTTTCCTACTCCTCTGATGCTGCCTGGCCTGCTGTGTTCCTCCAGCTCCACACTGTGTTAACTCTGACTCCAGCATCGGCAGTTCTTACTATTTCTAAATTAAACATTGTTGTTTTATCTTTTTGATTGCTACTTGGCAGTATTTGAATATATGAATGTTATCTATTAAAATGCTAGAATGCTTTCTACTTCATCCTAAACTGTTTGAATATGATTCAAAGTATTTTCCCTATATGCAATATTTTACATTTATCAATATGAAATTATATCTGACACTGCATTGCATCTAACACTTTAAATGTGTTCAGCATTTTGCCCAATCTGTGGATCAACCCTTAGATTACTGTCCAATACCATTATGTAGCTTAATCAAATATGACAGCCCTCAGCAAAAACATAGTCTGACAGGTCTGATGCTATAAAAGAATCCAAAATGACATATAGCTTACTACCGCTGGCCACTCACTAGTGTTAGACATCCCTCCATGTCAGACCAATAAGTTTTGCTATAGATTAGAGATGCCGGATTCCTCCTTTTAATGTCAGTCCAAACTCTTGTTATGAAACACTCACCTGCTTTTGGACTACACTCAAGAGGGTAGAAAATCATCCTGGCCTTCTTTTAGCTTCTTTGTTACTCATTCTAGTGACAATATCAGGTGAGCCACATTATTGGCTTTTGTTGCTATACTGCCCAATAGAAATTTCAAGTCCCCAACGTTGGACAAGTATTCTTGATGTCCAATATCATAATATCAAACCCAATTTCACAGTGGTTTAATAATTTATAAAATTAACGTCAAAAGATTAAGTTGCTGGACAAGGAATCTAAAGGCCTGAATGAATGTTTTGGTGACAAAAATTCAAATCCCAGCATACTCGGTGGACGAATTTAATTTTAACTAATTAATAAATCTGGAATAAAATGCTAGTCTTATTAATCACGATCATGGACGTGCCAGATTGTGTTAAAACAAAACAGTCCAGTTCACTAATATCTTTCAGGGAAAGAAATCTACCATTCTTATCCAGCCTACCCAAATGTGACTCCAGACCCACAGCAATGTAGCTGACTCTTCACTACCCTATGAAATAGCCTAGCAAGCCATACAGCTCAAGGACACTTATGGATGGGTGAAATTTGTTGGCCTTGCCAGAAACAGCCACATCTGAAGAACAAATTTTAAAAAAAGAAACATTTAAATATACTCCCAAGCATAAGAAATAAGCAGGAGCTGGTTTTGTACGCTCGGACTTCAGCCCTTAATATCAGGCCATGGCTCAGTCCTCACATGCAGGTTTGTCATAATGTCCTGACATCAGCTCAAACTTCAAAACCTGTCAGCTTTTCTGGCATCAGACTGAAATGAGGCTCCAGCAAGAAACTTATCAGCATTTAGAAAGCAGTGGCAGGATCAGACAGAGTCACCATGGATTTACGAAGGGGAAATCATGCTTGACAAATCAGTTAGAATTCTACAAAGATGTAACTAGTACAGTTGACAAGGGGGAGTCAATCGATGTAGTATATTTGGACTTTAACAGATTAATGTGCAAGATTAAAGCACATGGGATTGAGGGAAGTGTATTGCCATGGATAGGAAACTGGTTGGCAGAGAGAAAACAAAGAGTAGGAATTAACAGCTCCTTTTCAAACTGGCAGACAGTAACTAGTGGGGTGCCACAGGGATCGGTGCTGGGACCCCAGCTATTCACAATATGTATTAATGATTTGAATAAGTGAACAAACTGTGACATCTCTAAGTTTGCAGATGATACCAAGTTGGGTGAGAGGGTGAACTGTGACGAAGATGCAAGGTTCGTTCAGCATGAACTCGGCAGGTTGGGTGAGTGGGCAAATCAATGGCAGATGCAGTATAATTTGGATAAATGTGAAGTTATTCACTGTGGAAGCAAAAATAAGAAGGCAGATTACTACCTGAATGGTTGTAAATTGGGAGAGGGGAGTGTACAGCGGGACCTGGGCCTCCTTTTGCACCAGTCACTGAAGGTAAGCATGCAGGTGCAGCAGGTCGCAAAGAAGGTAAATGGTATGTTGGCCTTCATTGCGAGAGGTTTTGAGTACAGGAGCAGGGATGTGTTGTTGCAGGTATACAGGGCCTTGGTGAGGCCACACCTAGAATATTGTGTGCAGTTTTGGTCTCCTTTTCTGAGGAAGGATGCTCTTGTTCTTGAGGGAGTGCAGTGAAGGTTTACCAGGCTGATTCTGGTAATGGCGGGTCTGACGTATAAGGAGAGGTTGACTAGATTGGGATTTTTTTTCACTCGAGTTCAGACGAATGACAGGGAATCTCATGGAGACTTATAAAACTCTAACAGGACTGGATAGGGTAGATGCGGGGAGGATGTTCCCGATGGTGGGTGTGTCCAGAACCAGGGATCACAGTATGAGGATTCGGGGTAGACGATTTAGGATGGAGATCAGGAGATATTTCTTCACCCAAAGAGTGGTGAGCCTGTGGAATTCATTACACAGGGAGTAGTTGATGCCAAAACATTGAATGTATTCAAGAGGCGACTAGATACAGCACTTTGGGGTTATGGGGAGAAAGCAGGATTAGGTAGTACAGTTGGACGATCAGACATGATCATGAAGAATGGCAGAGCAGGCTCGAAGGGCCAAATGGCTTCCTCCTTCTCCTATTTTCTATGTTTCTATGAGATTAGGACAAACAGTCGTGAAACCAGGATCCAGTAGATCAGGGCTCTGAAATAGAGCTCTGACGTCACAGAGCTCTGACATCACAGGCTGTGGCACGACAAGCTCTGACATTGTTTGATATTGACAGCTTTATGGAGGACTGTTAGACTTGGTCAGCTGTGTCATAGTAATAGTAGAATTGTGGCTTCTGGAGGTAATATGACAGCTCAGAATCCATCTAACAAATCAATGATTTACTGAAACTGGCAAAGTCTCAGAAATTGGCAGCATATTCAGATCACAAACTTACAGTAGATGTGAATAGATACGAGTAAACTTCAAATTATTTCTGCACTGAGAAAATCACAAAATTCAACCAACTTATTGAGGACTTTTCTAAATAAGAAACTGACAACCCGCTTAACAAGTGCTCTAATTTCCTCTGGCTGCTTTTGTTATTTATATCTCAACATTTTACACACAGGAAGAAATTAAATTTAGACAATAAAAATGCAGCTTCCTTTCCTTTTAAGAAATCTGACAGATTCTGCACCAGTTAATGCCCTCCTAACATTCCCCTATGAGATGATGACAGCTCTGCCTTCAGGCTGGGAAATGACAAGTGACTGTGAGGAGTGGAAAACCACAAAGGAGTTGTGCAAATGCCTTAAAAATGATGGATATCAAAGAACTCTCAAAATCTGTTCAGCCTATTCCACTGACAGGAACACTAAATAAAGAACTAATCTTGCTTTGGGGTTGTCACAATGTGCAGTGTAACATGGTCTCAGTATGTTACTACACCACAACTATTTTCTATGTATTTAACTTGATCATTTGAAACTTTACAGTTATTTTAAATAATAAAATCCTCTACTTAATTTACAGTTAGGGAACAATGACCACAAACCCTTATAGTAATCATTAGATTATGTCGGTGGGGCAAGATTTCCAAGGGAAGGTTTCCCATGCATATTTTTCATCCTTCGCAGGTTCCTGACTTGGAAGTCAGCCTGACTGATGGGCCTGTCATCCAGACAATCAAGAAGGACTCCAGAATAACTAAAGGACAAGACCGGTCCAAATCCCAAATCTGCAAATGCGTGCGTGATCCTGGGATACTGGATGCATTCAATCATTGATCTTGGAGATGGAGAAGGTTTAATTCCCATGCCAGGAGGTGGATATCTAATCATGGGGTGGAAGGAGGATCGGGGCAGGAGGCCCAATTCAACCAAGATGTCTTTGTAAGGAGAAAGGCCTGATAGATGGGAGTTTGGATCTGAGGGAAGCAATCCTACTCCTCCTGGCCCTCAACAGTGCCATCCTCTGTGCAAGACTGCCTCTTGTCCCACCTCTATTAATAATGGAAATGGAACAACTGGAGTGGGTTGAGGTCATTTGCAAAATGTTTAAAATTTTAGTCTTAACAGTCATTTGACGTGCCAATGTTCTGCTCAGAAAATTATGATCCTTCAAAAGAATGTCTCAAGATAACTTCAAAGAAGTCAGGGTTTTACTTACGTAAACCAGTGACACTTAGATTGCTAAATCCCAGACTTGACACTGTTTGGAGGAATCAATTGGTGAAATAATGTGGACCTTGGTCATTTATCAATCCCAATCCAGTTTGAAGTAGAATAATTCTCTTTTTAACAAATATGAACGGAATTTGAGGCCAGCTCAATCTAGTTCTTAGTGAGTAGGAGCAATTCACAATGCTAGTAACAACATGCACCTAATCTGAGCAAACCTAATAAAGGTATTGGCTTTTAAAATGGATTATCATCCTTCACTTCCATGAGAACAAAACTCATAAAGAATAGTAAACATTACACTCACATTCTTCATTTCTGAATATTATTAGTTAAGTAACATGCTGATTTAAATTAGCATTACCAAACAGCTTGAAATTATAAGTTTAAACAAATTTTTTTCAGATGTCTTACCTTTACGGAAAACCATATACTGTTCTTTTACATGGTGTGGAGAAGAGACAAACTTGTTTTTGTTCAACATATCAAGACACTTTTCTATAAATTTTTGTTTCGCTCGTAAATCTTCAGGGTCTTCACAGCATTCAAATTCTTCTTTCATTTCTAAGAACATCAATAGTTACTTTAAAAATAAGTATTTAAAATGTTTGCAATCTTTTAAAAATAATATGACTTTTGGAAAATACGCAGCTGAGGCTTTATTAATCTGCTGGTGTTTCCAAAGGACTATTCTTACAGCAATAATTTCCATATAAGAGGCAACTTTAACAAAGAAAAATATGTCTTTTTCTTTGTGAAATGCCTTGACAAACGTTGAGCCTTTGTAGGGAGTTAGGCTAAATAACCAAAAATATGGATAAAGATGAGCTAATCTTGAACTATCAGGAAAGAGGTTGCAAAACAGCAGGGTTTAGTGAGGGAGTTTCAAAAGTGTAAGATTGAAATGGCTGAATATTCTGTTGTGAAGCAAGATACAGAAGGTTAGTGTCAGAGGAATTGAAAGCATGGAATGGAATACACCAATGATGAATGTTACAGAAGCTGATTGTAGCAAGGCCTAGAGAGGTAAATGTTGAATAAGATGAAGGATTTCATTCTTGGTACATCACGGGACAGAGCAATGGTGTGAATTAGTGAGAATGGGGGTGTTAAGTGTATGAGTCTCCATGCAGAGCAGTCGAGTTTTAGATGGTTGGAATCAAGAAGGAATGAAAAAAAAGGAGAAATGGAGACTGGAGATGACAAAGTGTGTTGACGTTTTCAGTAGTAGTAGCTGCAGAGGTGGAAAATTTGTGAAAGCAAGAGTACATGAGTTGCAGTTCTAATAACGAAATATAAAGTATTACCCAACCAAAAGCTAATATTGATCTTGGAGCTCTACCAATAGCTGAATGGATAAAAAACTTCACTCTGTAGGCCAGAGGTAGAAATAACAGGATGCTGCCATATTCAGTTCCTGTTCCCTGGTGAATTAACTGTTCTGAGTTAATGTTGTTAATGTCTGTCAAGGCTAGCAATGTTTAAGAACAAATTCAAGTTTCCAGTTAATAGCTGAAAAGTTGATGCAAGAAGGTTCCACATTTCACAATCTTTATTGTGAAAAATTTCTAATAACAGAATTGACTAAACCTTATTTCTTTCCGTAGGCAACTTATACTTGAAGCTGCTGAAAGGAACATTCTGCATTTTTTGTACTGATCACACATCGCACTCTCCACAGAATCACAGTCCTTATTGCGAAGAGATGACAATTGCTCAGAGTAGTGAATAGGTTTGCATTTTTCCACCTAGTTGAAGAGTATTTTTGAATGACTGCCTCCAGGTACTTCCCTTAGTTTGGTTTTCATGGAATGTCCTAAATTGATTGCCAGCAATGAAGGCCATCCCAATGATTCTCCCCTCTAATCATTCCAGTTTGAATCTCCTGGAATTCTTTGATGGTTACACGATGTGTCTTTGACTACAGACAGTCTCTCCCATGTCTGCAGTGATAATTCACAAAGCCCAGCAGTCTCTTTGCTCCGTTGCTCACATAAAACTGATGTCTGTCTGTGATATCCTCTGTGTTCCCGAAAAACCTGTAATCTGATCTCTTTCCCATAGCAACATGAAACAGAATAACTCTGCATCCGGGTTGAAATGCTGATTAGCTATTATGACTCTGAATGCCTTTCATTTTGGAAGTAAATGTACAGTTTGCAGCGCAACTGTTTATAAATCAATACTTCCTATATCTTTCTGGGAATTTTGGAGACTCAGACTCTCACACTGTTAATACACAGGTTGCTGCCATTGCCTCCAAGCATAAATAACTTGTATCTTCTTCCCAGCGAAACAACATAACTCTTTTGTTGATCTGTAACAATCGAACCATTGAGATTTACTGGTAGGCAATTTTCGGACCAGGTCACGAGCCTCTTTATTTTCAAATTTAGGATGAAATGGAATCCCAAAACACAATGAATTCACAAACCTATAACTGTAGCAATTTGAAGACAATTATCTGGGAGTTGGGATAGAAGGGGAAAAATAAATAATTATGTCAGAATCACAGAAACAGGATGCTGCCATATTCAGTTCCTGTTCCCTGGTGAATTAACTGTTCTGAGTTAATGTTGTTAATGTCTGTCAAGACTAGCAATGTTTAAGAACAAATTCAAATTTCCAGTTAATAGATGAAAAGTTGATGCAAGAAGGTTCCACATTTCACAATCTTTATTGTAAAAAATTTCTAATAACAGAATTGACTAAACCTTATTTCTTTCTGTAGGCAACTTATACTTGAAGCTACTGAAAGGAATATTCTGCATTTTTTATACTGATCACACATTGCACTCTCGACAGAATCACAGTCCTTCTTGTGAAGATTCTTTGATTTGGATCCTCTGGAAAGGTGCAGCAAATTCACACATACTGAAAACCCAATAATATTAGATGACAGCAAATTCTGTGCTCATGTTTCTCAGGATATAGAACATAGAACAGCATAGCACAGTACGGGCCCTTCGTCCCACGATGTTGTGACGACCTATTATTCTACTAAGATCAAACTACCCTGCATTCCCTACATTTTACTATCCTTCATGTGCCTATCCAAGAGTTGCTTAAAAGTCTCTAAAGTATCTGACTCCACTACCACTGCCGGCAGCGCATTCCACACGCCCACCACTCTCTGTGTGAAGAACCTACCTCTGACATCTCCCCTGTACCTTCCTCCAATCACTTTAAAATTATGCCCCCTCTCATCCATCTTCGCTCCAATGAAAAAAACCTTAGCTTAATCAACCTTTCCTCATAAGACCTGCCCTCCAGTCCAGGCAGCATCCTGGTAAATCTCCTCTGCATCCTCTCTAAAGGTTCCATATCCTTCGTATAATGAGGTGACCAGAACTGAACACAATATTCCAAGTGTCGTTTAACCAGGGTTTTATAAAGCTTAAGCATACAGTTCAACATTTTGTTGTTTCATGAGATGAAAAAAATCAGGAAAAGGTGGATCAGTCCCATTTTTTACTCCCAGCACTTTAAAATAATTATTTTCTTTTTAATTCTTTGCCACTATAAATTGTTTCCATATTAACTTATTGCATTGCGCTTTTATCAGCAAGTACAGAAAATTGACAGTGTAGTGGTAATGTCACTGGACCAGTAATCCAGAAACTCTGGGAACCAAGTTGAAAACCCACCAAAGCAGCAGGTGGAATTTACAATAAACTATGTGAATAATAAAAAGCAAATTGGAACTGAAAGTTAGACTCAGTTAGACTAAACTGTTAGCCGATACGAAAGTTAGGCATTGTGTGCACTGCAGAAACTCACCAAGGTTCCTTCAGCACAACCTTCCAAACCCACGATCATCCACCATCTTGAAGAAAGAGGGCAGCAGATGAAACCATCTACAAGTTTCCCTCTTGACATGGAACTCTGTCATCATTCCTTCAGTCTCACTCAGTCAAAATCCTCGCACTCCTTTCCAAACAGCTCTGAGAGTGTAAATTCACCACACAGACAGCAGAAGTGCAAGAAGGCATCTCACTACCACCTTCTCAAGGGAATTAGGGATGGGAAATACATGCTACCACATGCATTCTGAGAAAGAATTTTAAAAAGTCCAACTTTGTTATGTTAATCTCTTCATTTCTGAAAATTTCCAGAGCACTGAGTGTGTCTTCTTTAGGAAGAAAAATGTCACCTGCTGTGATAGTCATTGATGCAAAGCTGTGAATGTTAATTCAACATTCTCATTCCCTCAGGCTTGGTATTTGTTATGAATTTGATTCTTATATATCAGCGCTTGAGAAGTATCAATCAAGAATGGAAAGCAAAATTACTGCATTTACTTTTTCCCCATTTCCTTCCCTCTTCGTCTGAAGGACTAAACTTCTTATGGGGTGCAGATATATGCATCAGCCAAGTACCTTGCTTGAGTGTCTAGCTCAGTGTGGGAGTGCAAGACCAAGAGAGCAAAAATGCAACTTGCAAACCTGAAAGCATTATTACACTTTGACTATCCATGCTCATATTATAAAACAACTGTCCTAGGGTTAACAGCACCAGATGTAGTTAACACTGGGCCAGCATGGCATTAGAACCATTTATGAATTAGCCAAAATCTTACAAAACCTCATTTTAAATGGATGATGCCCCAAAAGCACATTAGTCACTCAGTGACTGTTGCAAAAAAGCTGATGCGTGGGATATTGGTGGGAATATCCTTATCTATGTCTAAAGCCTAGTATAGTTGTAGCTAGACTGTTAAAGTGGACAAATGATTTTGCTACTTAACATCAATACTGTTGCAAAAACATCCATTCTGAGAACTTGGGAAGAGCACACCATGAGTGTACCATAAGTACTGAACACAGCCTTCTTAGTTACATGCAGTGCTTACTGCATCCAAAAAGCAGTGGTTCAGGCAGCAATCAGCAGAACTGTATCTTCGATCCTAAAGCTTCTGTTGTTTGGCATGCTAGTAGTCCTGTGTTGTAGCTTCACCAGGTTGATACTTCAACTTTTCAGTATATCTGATGCTGCCCAAAATGTTTTCCTGCAATTCAGCAGAGCTGGTCCCCAGCTTGGAGATAATGATAACGGTAGTATGCTGGGCCATGAGGTTACAGATGGAGATTAAATGTAATTGTACTGCTGGCCCATGCTGTCTCTTTGATGGCCTCTCTGAGTTGCTAGATCTGACTAAAATCTATCCCATTTAGCACTATAATAGTGCCACACAACATGTGGGAGAGTCTCCCCAACGTAAAGACCAGACTTTACTCCACAAGGACTGTGAGGTGATCATGCTTACCAGTACTTCACAGACAGAAAGAACAGTGACAGTCAGATTGATAGGGATGAGGTTAATTAGATTTTTTCCTCTTGTCAATTTCCTTCACCGCATGCCACAGAGCCATTCCAGCAACTTTGACCTTGAGGATTTGGTCAGCTTAGTTACTAAAGGTGCTATTGAGCCACTCCTGGTGGATGCTTATTGAAATCACCCGCCCAGAGTACATTTCTCCCACTAAATGGTGGTAAGCAGAACACTTCCTTTCTCATGTTTGACCTGAAATGAGATCTCATGGGGTCTAGAATCAATTTTGATG